AGAGTGTACTAGGCAGAGGGGACAGCAGGAGCCAATGTCCTGGGGCAGAGAGGTGCTTGGGCACCAGCGAGGAGGCCAGGGTGGCTGGAGTGCCGTGAGCCGCGGAGAGCATTAGGTGATGTGGTGCAGAGCTTGGGGCTTGGAGGCAGGGGACAGTCAGGACAGGCCTCCCAGGCTGAGGTGAGGCCCTGGGCGAGGTGGGATCTGGCTTGGATTTCACAAAGGTCATTTGGCCGCTGTGTTGAGCAGAAGGTAGGTGAGCAGGGTGCAGCAAGGAGACTGTTCTGGCAGTGATCCACGTGAGAGCTGATGGTGGCAGAGGGGGTGCGAAATGTTTGGGTTCTGGCTGTAGTTTGACGGTACAGCTTTCAGGGTTTGCTGATGATTAGATGTGGGTCGCGAGAACAGGAAAGAGGAGTCAAGATTGACTGCAAGACTTGCCCTGAGTTCCTGAAAGAGGGAGGTTGCAATGGACCGCGTCGGGAGACTATGGATGGAGCAGGTTTAGGAAGGTGAGAATCACCATTTGTCTGGACACATTCATGAAGAAGCTTGTTGACAGCCAAGCGGAGATGTCGGGCAGGCAGCTGGGAGAAGGAGTGTGGCCTTGAGGGGAGAGTCCAGAGCAGAAAGAGGAATGGAGGACCGTCCAGGGAAGCTGAGCAGGAGTGGCCAGGGAGGGCGGAGAACGGAGAGAGGGTGGGGGTCCCGGGAGCAATGAAGAAAGAGCTTCAAGGAGCAGAGAGGGACTGTCAGGTGCCCCTGGAGTAAGAGGAGAGGGAGAATTAACCTTAGGGTTTAACCACGTAGACCAGTATCAGCATCACATGGCAGCCGTTAGAAATGCAGATTCCCAGGCCCTGCCCCTGGCCTGCTGGATCGGAATCTGCACATTGACAAGATCTCCAGGCAACTTGGATGCACTTTACAGTTTGAGAAGTTTGGTCTGGGGCATAGGTGGACAAACTACACCCATGCACCAAATCCTGCCCACCACTTACTTTTGTAATAAAGTTTGCGTACTGTCTTCAGCTGCTTTCGCTCTACAGTGGCTGAGTTGAGTAGTTGTAATGGAGACCCTATGGCCTGCAAAGCCTAAAATATTTACTCTCTGGCCCTTTACAGGAAAAGTTTCCTTGGGGGCCTAGGGGAGTGGGAGAGAGCATGGGTTAGGCTCAGGTGACTTGTTAACGTGAAGGTTGATTCAGCACCCTGGATCTGCCACTCTCACAAGTTCCCAGATGATGCTGTTGCTGCAGGGGCCACACTTGGAGAACCCCAGGTCGAGACCAAGGTGGGGTTGCCAGGCCCCACGCTGGAGCTTGCAGGTTGTGGCCGTGAATTTCAGGTGGGACCAGTCAGCACGTCTGTGCGTTTATCCCAGTGACGTGCAGCTGCCGGCCACAGGTGCGAGGGACGCGGAGAACTGGAGGGTTTAGGGGCGAGGGCAGGGGAGCTGAGGCCAAGGGCGTGATCCCAGCAGCGGGGCGGCGCGACAGGACGGTGGGGGAGGGGACAGTGGAAAGTGGGGTGTCACAGAGGCAGGTCCTGGAGTAGCAAGCTGGGCTGATGGGAGGCGCCAGTCAGCGGGGAGGGGGGCGGCAGCCTGGAGTGAACCCTGGCTCCACCTCTGACCCTCTGAGCCCAAGCACAGGTGACTCCCCTTTTGTGTCTGTTTCTCTGACTTTAAGTGTGTCTGAGCGGTAGTGACCCTCGCGAGGTAGGGCTGAGGGAGGCAGGAGTGTCTCAGACAGGCAGGTGCTTAGAGCAGAGCCCGCGGTAGCGCGGCCGCTTCACGCCCGCCTCTCGACTTCAGTCCCCTCCGCTCCTAACAGTAACACGGCGCGCGGCGCCAGCGGGTCTGTACCTGGTGCAGGGCCAGGGACGCTCATTTGGTTACTGGCAAAAGGAAAAGTGCTGACTGGTGTTTTCCGGCTAGCCCCTATGTTGGGTTCATTCAACACCTGCCTGAAGGCAGGTTTGCCGGGGCCTTTATAAGTGATCCACGCTCATTTTCGCGTGCCTTACACCCTGTGAAAATGTTTGTGTGTGTAGGGGTTTGAATGCTTAGTAGTATGTGGCTACATGGTGGGCTGTCCTCCCAGTTGGTGACAAATGGCATCATGGTGACAGTGTCACATGCTTGGTGTGGAAAGGGGAGGAGTCTGTGTGGAAGGAATGCTGGGGGCAGGGTGTCATCTGATGGATTGGGATGTAGTTGCAGAGAGGGAAAGGGCCTCGCCCCAGACACAGTCTTAGCGCCAGTAGCCCCACCCCTCGGGCCCTCCCCTTTCCTATCTTCTGAAAGTCCCACCTGGCACATAGTAGGTCTCGACCCTGATAACTGTATGCTGGGCATATCCTGTCATAGGTGCTTATGTGATGTATGTTTGTGTGCATGGGTCTCCATTATACCCTTACATAGAATGAGGAATACATTTAACCTTTTTTCTCACCTCGGAGGAAACATTTCATAACTTCTTTGCTCATCGTGTGATTCATTACATTTGTATAGCATTTAAAAATCCTCCAAGAGCTGTAATGTTTTGCTGAGTATCCTCTCAAAGCCTCATACAGCAGGCCTTATCAGTGCCTTGCAGAGGCCCCAGGGCAAATGATGGCCTGGTATCCAGCGCCCTTTCCATCTTCCCCTAGCTGGGCAGGTTCCGTAGCAGCTCTGCTGCTCTCTGGTTAGCTGAAGAGATGCGTTTCTCTCTCTGGATTCCTGGTGGGGTTTCATTCCTGCATTGTGTGCCCAAAGCCAGGCACTTCCCTTGGTTTGAACAGAACCCCTGGAATGCCATCCCCACAAATCCCGCAGGAGCTCTTGTGCTGGTTTGTGTCAGACACCTAGCTGTTTGTGATTTTCCATGAGTCCCACCTTCTCTGCTGTCACCTGTTTTCCTGCTGGTGACAGCCCATTGTTCCTGAGTGACCCAAAGGCAGGGCCCAGGCTTTATGAGGGGCTGGCCTGTGGCGGGGTGGGTAGCCGGGACCACAGAGAACGGCCAGTGGAGCAGCCTTGCACCCAGCCCTGCTGGGCCACCTGAGGTCTGGCCTGCATTTCACTCAGGAAGCCTGCTGACTTGAACCTGAGCTTCTTTTGCCTTCTTTCCCTTTGGCAGGCGAGTTCAGAATGTCCACACAGGCCTGGACCTGACCGTGCCCCAGCACCAGGAGGTACGGGGCAAGATGATGTCAGGGCATGTGGGGTACCAGATCCTGGTGGTAACCCGGCTGGCTGCATTCAAGTCGGCCAAGCACAGGCCTGAGGATGTCGTCCAGTTCTTGGTGAGCTGGGGGCTCTGCCAGGATGCTCCCGAGGGTGCTCAGGGTCCGGGGGTCCAGCTGGGCAGACACACCTGCCGCCAGGGTGCAAGTAGCATCGGGGTGCGAGCAGTGCTCTAGCCAACGCTCACTTGGCCTGACAGTGCCAGAGCGTTTTGGCGGTAAGGACATTGGTGAACCAGATTCTTACAGTCTGTGGGGACACAGACCGGTAAGGAGACAGGAGCCCAAGGGGAGGGGAGGACTATGGTAGTGTAGAGAAGGGGCACCTAACGCATCCTAGGGAAAGGGTTCTGGAAGATGTCTCGGAAGAGGTCAGGGCCGAGCTGGGTTTTGAAGAGCAGGTGGAGACATCAGCATTACTGCAGATGAGGCCCTCCCTTTGTCACTCCCCTTCAGTCTACCGCCAGTGAAACATCCCAAACAGTCTCTCACATCTGTCCATCTAGAGGTGGGCGGACTGGAACGTACAACGGAGGCGGAACTGAGGTGGTGTGTGCAGTCCCAGATCCCCAGCCCCGGAGGCCAAGCCCGCGGCCCCAGAGAACCCAGCCGCATCAGGGAGGTGGCACGCACAACACCAGCCTCTGGGCCTCAGCCGTGCCTGTAGCCACAGGGGACTGGGCAAGCAGGGCCTGCAACACCGTCCCTCCAGTTGTAGAGCTGCCCACAAGTCTGGCCCCCTCTCCCCGACCCACAGTGGCGGCATCCCTAAACTTGACAACCCCAGACATGGCAGAGGTGCCGAGACCCCAGCTCCACCTCGTGCAGTGGAGGCAGAGCCTGTGACTCAAGTTCCTGGACACAGCAGAAGTGCCCACCACCCCGCTGACCCAGGCAGCAACAACAGTGACAGCAGCAACCATGGAGGCACAAGCGGTGACAATGCGGGCACCAGGCAACACCTCTGACAAGGGCAGTGGAGGCTGGAAAGTGCCAATCCTCTAATATAACCAGAGGCAGCTCAGGTAAGAGAAACCAAAAACTTGTGCTGTAGCGCCACCTAAGGGAAAAGAAAAGAAAACAAAAGCCTCTAACCTGTTGAATAGTTGGAATCAAGTTTAAAAAAAAAAAAGCTTTGCCTAAAGAAGAAAGGTGTTTGATGCTTCATATGCACCAGCAGAGGAACAACTCATCAAGCACCATAAAGAACCGCAGTAACACTGTTATCACAAAAACAAAATGGTGATGCTCCAGAGACCAGATTTAAAGTCACAGAACAGTGCAATCTGATAGAGAATTCGAAATAACTGTCAAGAGGAAGCTCAACGGGCTATAAGAAAGCTCAGAAAGGCGGTTCAATGAACGTCAGGGTTGAAATTAATGAACAGAAGAAATACTTTACCAAAGAGACTGGAACTCTGAAAAAGAACCAAAGAGAAATTCCAGATCTGAAGAACTCAGTAAGCAAAGATGAAGAGTGCATCAGAAAGGACTGGAAATAGAGCAGAGACTGTATGGAAGAGAGAATTAGCCAGTTCAAGGAGAGGAATCTAGGAATGATACAGTTAGAAGAGGAGAGAAAATTAAGATCCAAAAAAAAAAAGAGAGAGAAAATTCTACGAGAATTATCGAAGTCTTTTAGGCAGGGCAACATTAGGGTAATGGGTGTCCCAGAAGCAGGAGAGAGAGATAGAGATAGAGATAGATTCAACACCCATTTATAAAACTTTCAGTAAAATGAGTACAGAAGGAATGTACCTCAGCATTAATAAAGGCCATATATGACAAACCTACAGCTATCCCTGTAGGGTCAAGAATAGGACAAGAATTCTCACTCTCGCCACTCTTTTTTTTTGGTTTTTTTTCTGCCCCTTCTTTTCCCTTCCTCCCTCCAGCCCACCAGGCTCCACTCACTTTCCACTCTTATTCAACATAGTATTGGAAGTCCTAGCCGCAGCAGTTAGGGAAGAAAAAGAAAGAAAAGTCATGCAAATTGGAAAAGAAAAAAGTAAAGCTTTCACTGTTTGCGAATGACATGATTTTATATATAGAAAACCCTAAAGATGCCACCAAAAACTATTAGAAATAATAAATGAATACAGTAAAGTTGCAGGGCACAAAATCAACACACAAAAATCTGTTGTGGACTTCCCTGGTGGCGCAGTGGTTAAGAATCCACCTGCCAATGCAGGGGACACGGGTTCAAGCCCTGGTCTGGGAAGATCCCACATGCCGCGGAGCAACTAAGCCCGTGAGCCACAACTACTGAGCCTGTGCTCTAGAGCCCGTGAGCCACAACTACTGAGCCTGTGCTCTAGAGCCCGTGAGCCACAACTACTGAGCCTGTGCTCTAGAGCCCGTGAGCCACAACTACTGAGCCCGCATGCCACAACTACTGAAGCCCACGCACCTAGAGCCCATGCTCTGCAACAAGAGAAGCCACCGCAGTGAGAAGCCCATGCACTGCAACGAAGAGTAGCCCCCGCTCGCCGCAACTAGAGAAAGCCCACGTGCAGCAACGAAGACCCAACGCAGCCCAAAGTAAATAGATAAATAAGTTTATTTAAAAAAAAAGTCAGTTGTGTTTCTGTGTGCTGACAATGAGTGAGCAGAAAGAGAGTTGAGAAAACTATCCCATTTACAGCCACCACAGCAACAACAAATGCCCAGGAATAAATTTAATCAAGTACACTGAAAACTATAAGACACTGTTGAAAGAAATTGAAGAAGACACAAACAAATGGAAAGCTATTCCATGCTCATGGATTGGAAAAATTAACATTGTTAAAATGTCCATATTACTTAAAGCCATCAACAGATTCAATGCAATCTCTATCAAAATCCCAAGGACATTTTTCACAGAACTAGAACCAAAAAGTCTAAAATTTATATGGAACCACAAAAGACCCTGAATAGTCCAAGAAATCTTTTTTCTTGGGAAAAAAGAACAAAGCTGGAGGTATCACACTCCCTGATTTCAAACTGTATTACAAAGCTGTAGTAATCAAAACACCATGGTGTTGACAGAAAAACAAATACATAGATCAATGGAACAGAATTGAGAGCCCAGAAATAAATCCATGCAAATGGACAATTAATTTATGACAAAAGGAGCAGAGAACATACAACGAAGAAAGGATAGTCTCTTCAATAAATGGTTTGGGGTAAACTGAACAGCCACATGCAAAAAATGAAACTAGACCACTGTCTCACACCATACATAAAAATCAACTCAAAATGAAATAGAGACTTGAATGTAAGACCCAAACCATAAACTCTCAGAAGAAAACATAGGCAGGATTAGCTTTGGCACCAGTCTTAGCAATATCTTTCTGTATATGTCTCCTCAGGCACGGAAAACAGAAAGCAAAAATAATCAAATGGGACTACAGCAAACTAAAAAGCTTCTTCACAGCAAAGAGAGCCATCAACAAAGCAAAATAACAAGCTTCCGAATGGGAGAAGATAAAACTCATATATCCGGTATTACGCATTTTAATAGTATCCAAAATATGTAAAGGACTCATAGAATTCAACAACAAAAAACCAAACAATCCAAGTTGAAAATGGGCAGAGGAGCTGAACAGACATTTTTACAAAGAAGACATACAGATGGCCAATAGGCACATGAAAAGATGCTCAACCTCACTAATTATTAGGGAAATGCCAGAGTTAGCTATCGCTTCACTCCTGTTAGAATGGCTATTATCAAAAAGGTAAGAAATGACAAATGTTGATGAGGGTGTGGAGAAAAGGGAACCCTCCAACACTGTTAGTGGGAATGTAAACTGGTGCAGCCACTATGGAAAATAGTATGGAGAGTCCTTAAAAAATTAAAAATAGGGAATTCCCTGGCGGTCCAGTGGTTAGGACTCCACGCTTTCACTGCCAAGGGCCCGGGTTCAGTCCCTGGTTGGGGAACTAAGATCCCACAAGCCGCATGGTGTGGCTAATAAATAAATAAATAAAAAATAGAGCTGCCAGATCATCCAGTAATTTCACTTCTGGGTATTTATCCAAAGAATACAAAAACACTAATTTGAAAAGATATATGCATTCCTATGTTCATGGCAGCACTGTTTACAATAGCCAAGACATGGAAACAACCTAAGTGCCCATCAGTGGATGAACGGATAAAGAAGTTGTGGTCCTTATATACAATGGAATACTACTCAGCCATAAAAAGATGAAATCTTGCCATTTGCAGCAACACAGATGGACCTTGAGGGTATCCTATCAAGTCAGACAGAGAAAGACAAATACCGTATGATTTCACTCATGTGTGGAATATTAAAAAAAAAAAAACAGAACGTGAACAAACCAAACAAAACCACGTAGATACAGATAACAGAGTAGCGGTTGCCAGAGGGGAAGGGGCAGAGGGGAGGGTGAAATGGGTAGAGGGGATCCACTGTATGGTGATGGATAGAAACTAAACCTTTGGAGGTAAGCACACCATAGCATATACAGAAGTAGAAATGTAATGTTATACACATGCGACTTGTATAATGTTATAAATCAGTGTCACTGCAGTAGAAAAAAGAAAGCAATTTAACGAGCAGACGGAGCTAAGAACAGCGCAAGGGGAGAAGCGTGCCCCAGGCAGAAGGCACAGAGGCTAGAAACAGGGTATCGTGCGGGGAGCTGTGAGCGGCTGAGTATCGTCCTGGATACTCATCTCCTGGGAGAAGAGGAGGGTGATCGCGGGCCGCGTCCGGGTCATAGAGGGCGTGCAGGGGGCCCGACCTGTCTGGCAGTCACGCAGGAGCTTTAAGCAGTGGCATGACATGGTCCTGTTGTCTCTCACTGCCTGTCTGGTGGAGAGTGGAGTTGGATTGGAAGGAACAGGGCAGAGGACAGGGAGCTCAGTGAGGAGGCTGGTAGAGTAACTAATGCCTGGGGCCGGGGGCAGGCCAGCGGCGGGTGGTACAGGAGGGAGGGAGAGGGTTGAAAGTATTTCCAAGGTGACATGCACATAATTTTAACTGGCTGATTGTTTCTACCCGCTGCGATAAAGGGCTCCAGCGGAGGGAGGGGCAGGTGGAAGGAGGACGTTTCCAGTGTGATGGATACAGGAGGCTGGAACTTGGGGCGGGGTCAGGCCCAAGGGGCCGCTTTGGGAGGCATCAGCTTGCAGGTGATGCTGAAAGGCTGGGAGCAGATGAAGTTGCCCAGAGAGTGGATGTGGGCGTGGAGGTTCTGGCTGAGGAGGAAAGCCTGGGGACGCTAGCACCTCGGGACAGTCAGGGAGAGGAAGCCGAGGCCCAGGGAAGAGAGGGGGCTCAGGGGCTCGAGAATTTCAGGAAGCGGCAAGGTCACAAACTCACTCGTTTAGTATTTACCTTTGGCTTCTTGTAAAAAGGTCTGGAGACATGCCCAGGAGAGACGGGCCACGGGACTGTGAGAGAAAGTTAAAATGAGCAAGGGTCCTGCGGGGCAGAGCAGAGCAACCGGCTGGTTTGTTCTGCGTCTCCTGGCAGCCAAGACAGAAAGGCAAGGAGCGAGTTACCCAGGCCTGGGGACCTATCAGAAGAGACACAAGATTCTTTTTTTTTTTTTTTTTAATTTCTGTTATAATTTCTAATATGGGAAGAAGCCATAACTACAGCTCGCATAAACAAAAGTTCTTTGGGGTCCTCAATAAATTTTTAATGGGATCTTGATACTAAAGTGTTTAAGATCAGCTGGATGAGATAGTAAATCCCCGTTAAAAAAGAGAAAGTCAAATCCCATTATCAGAAGAGAATAAGAAGGATGGATTTAAAATTGAAATGAACAAGTCAATGTTGTAGTAAAAGGAAGAGAGAATTCAGAAGGAACAAAAATATATTTTTAGTAAGGTTAAGAAAAAACATAATGTTTTAGGCAAAAGATCCATATGGCTATGCACACTTTTAACTTCACAGGAGGCCAGCTGTTTTCTAGAGCTCACTACCAGCTAGCAGATAGTAATGCCCCTCTTTCATATGCTCATTTATACTTGGTGTTGTCTGACATTTTGATTTTGTGAATCTTGTATTGATAGGTGTTAGCCTGCATTTCCCTGATTACTAACGTGGTTGAATATCTTGTCAAATGTTTGTGAAACATTGTTGCTTCTGTGGAATTCCTTTTGAACCGTTGGCTCTTGTCTTTCTCTTACTATGTATAGGAATATTCTTTATATATTCTTTATACTTATTGCATGACAAATATCCTTTTCCAGTTTGGAGACACCAGCTTCTAAGGGATAAAAGTTTATGGCACAGTTCTTTCATTAAGAGACATTCAACACATCCTGGAAAGTGTCTAAAAGAGTGTGATGTTTTTCGTTTGCTTCTTGGACAGACTCTTGTTGAGAACCAAGGTGTAATGTAATGGCAGGTGATGGTTCTGGGTCTGCTTTGTTCTACTGGGTGATTTGCAGCTCCTGGTAATCTGACTTGACCCAGATGGAGCTCAACGCACCCATGTTTTTCAGGGACAGGATCAAAGAGGAAAATATCTGAGACCCGAGTCTGTGGGCAAGACAGAGAGGCAGCACTTGGGGGCCCTTGATAAGGTGCTGGCTGGCCTTATGAGCGCGGGTGTGTGGGGACTTCTTTGACACCTCCGTGTGTCACACCAGTGCCACTTTCTCCTGACCAGTGACCCCCATGGCTTGCCCTATGGGTAGCTGTGTGCACAGGTGCCTGTGCGTGGAGGTTCTTCCCAAACATTTTGAACCACCTGCGAGGGCAAAGAATGAGTTGACTCCCTGTGAGGTCTAGGGGTGTAACCCCACACCTGAACTTTCTTTGAAGTTTCACGATTTAGCTTTAAAAAACTAATGAGCATTTTGCTTTCTACTCCTCAAAAGGAGTAGAATCCCGTGCTTTGGAACACTGAATGTGGGCCCTGCGTGGGGTGGCACCCAAGACTTAAAGCTCCCCGGCTGCCTGTGCTGCCAGTGCCCTGGAGACCCACAGCTCCCAGAAGCAGGGTCCTGGTGGGTCTGGTGGCCAGGCCTGCATGGAGCAGTGAGGCCAGCAGAGGGCGCTCCGCCCCCACCTGGTGGAGTCTCGGGTTCTCGGGACCACTAGGAGTTGGGAGCCTGTGTCACTCTTGTGAAAGGACGCTCTTCCCTTTCCTTGAGAGCTGTTCTCAGGAAAGCTCCCGAGCAAGGCTCTGTGTTGACAACTGCAGGCCACAGCCCCCTGTCCCAGATGACTCCCCAGGGGGGCGGTCCTGAAGTCCCCCAGTGCCCCAGCCACCTGCCAGCATCTGGAACCCTCACGGGCTGGGGGCTCTGAGGATGATGCTGCATGCTCCAGCAGAGCTGTGCGATGGGACTGCCAGGTGTCCCTTGTCTGAACGCATCCGGACGCCTCACAGCCCATCAGCTACACCAGTGCCTCATTGGTGTGCTGTGTGCATGGCCCTGGCTTGGGAGAAGTGGGAATATCTGTCTTCATAATCGATGCTCCCACGGAGGAGTTAGGGAGACTGGCCAAACATGTGGGGAGAGCACAGAGGAGTCTAAGGCAAGGGAGGACCCTGGGCTGTGGGTGGGGCGTGGCGTGGAGTGAGTGACTGTTCTCTGAGCGCCTGTGTTGGCTTATACAGACCACAGTGATGGCATCGACCCGCTGTGTTACCGCTGCTCCCTTAACTGGAGACCTGGAGCCTCGGGAGCAGAGACCACACTGAGTGTGCTCATACAGAGTAAACGCACAGCAAGAGCTTGATAGTGAGTGGACGAGCCCTAAGCTGCAGCGGGAGTTCTGGGGAAAGATCGAGAGGCGGTAGCAGCCCTCAGCTCTGCAGGAAGCCAGGTACCCCAGGATGACTCTGACGGCCGAGGACCACCTTCCAGCGGACCCCCTGGCCAGCTTCCCCAAGGTCCTGGTGTGCAGTGGGCTCCTGGCTGGCACCAGGGCCAGAAACCAGCTTTGCAGTGTCTGGTTCTCCACCACCTGAGCACTGTAAGGTGTGGCCTTGTCAGAGGCAGCTGCTAGTTCACGGGATAATGACCCTGCAAGACGTTGACCCGTTGTTGCAGGAAGATGACCTAACAGGGGCCAGACCATGAGGTCACCCTGCTAATGCACTGAAGGCCCAGAATGGAGGTATAGGTCACGGCCACCTGCAGGCCAGGTCTCTGTATCAAGTGTCTCTACCCAGACCTGTGATGGTGCCTGGAACCCGCCACGATTGCATCTTTCCTTTGGGCCGCTAGGTCTTTCAGGATTAGCACCCAGCATTGACCAGGAGGCTTAGGAAGTGGAGCCTGAGGCAAGGAGCTGGGCGGAGGGTCCGGAGGGAGGCACAGCTTCCTGGAGCCGGTCCTAGGGAAGGACTCTCCCAAGAGCCCAGCGCCCTCGGGACCTCTGTTGGGGCCGGAGGAGCGGCCTTCTCTCCTTCCCCTCTTCACTCAGGAAACCACGTGCTCCTCTCATTCCAGGTCTCCAGAAAGTACAGTGACATCGAGGAGTTTTACCAGAAACTCAGCAGTCGTTATCCAGCGGCCAGCCTTCCCCCGCTCCCCAGGAAGGTGCTCTTTGTTGGGGAGTGTGACATCCGGGAGAGGAGAGCCATGTTCGATGAGATCCTGCGCTGCGTCTCGAAGGATGCTGAGTTGGCAGGCAGCCCTGAGCTGCTAGAATTCTTAGGTACGGGAGGCTCTGTCTCAAATTCCTGAGGTCTCTGCTGGCCCAGAGCTAGGCCTCCCTGCCCTGGCTTGGCGGGAGGGGGGTCCACATACCCCCTGCAGCCCAGAAGCTTCAGCCAGGCTGTTGAGGCCCGTGGGCCTTACTGCCGTGCTTGGGCCAGGGTGGTGGGTGGAAGAGGCCCGGGACCCAGCCCTGGAGGACTGACCATCTGGGTGCTGGATGGGGCTCACCCAGGGCCCTTCTCCATAGTCTGAGCCCAGCCACTCCCACCCTGGCCAGCCCCCTCCAGAGCTCCCCCCACCCATACACACGCCTCCGCCTCCCACCAGCCAGGCCTGGGGGCCTGCAAAGTCCGGAGAAGGCTGTGCTCCCACAGCCAGGCTGGTGCCCTGGCCCCTGCGGACACCTCACTCAGCTGGTACCCCTCACCGAGAGGTTTGGGGCGTGGCCCCAGGCAGCCCTCCCACCCAGTGATGGGAACCTCGAGCCCTTGCAGTCCAGGTCCCACGGCCTCCTGTCTTCCCGCTAGTCCTGTCTGTCGGATGGGAGTCGCCCGGCTAACAGGTGCTTGTGAGAGTCACATGTGCAGAGCTCGCCACACAGGAGGCGCTGTAGAAGTGATGGCTAACGTCTCACCCCCACTCACACCTACTGGACTCAGAACGCTGCGGGTGCGTCCCCGTCCTGCACCAACACCCCGGGGCAGGGGGAGCGTGGGGAGGGCTCCCATCCAGGGGTGCGGGGCACTCACCCCATTTACCTCTTTTCCCGAGTACCGTGAATCTCCTAGTTTCCCAAGACAGATGGGAATTTTTCAGAAGAAAATTAACACGAAATAAACCAATTTTGAAAAAAAACAAGGTGGGAAAATAAAAGTGGAACGGGTGAATGCACGGAAAGCCGAGCCTGGTAAGACTGCAGCACTGGTTTTCTTCTCTCCTTTCCCACGCCCCCCACAAGGGTCTTCGGGCTGGGGTCTCTCCGGCCCTCCTGTTTACTGAGGTCACAGCCCTCCGCCCTTTGCCTCTCTCTGGGTCTGCGTTGACTGTAGGAAGGGGGCCCCAGCCTATCCATAGCTGGAAGGAACTCCCCATCTCCTGGCCCTCTCTGTTACGGGGAAGCAGGATAGGATGGTCTGACTTTCCTAGCCTCTCCGTGCCTCAGTTTCCTTATCTGTAAAATGGAGGGACAGATAGGATCTCTCACGTGGGATTTTTGCAATATTTAAATGAATCTGTACCTGTAAAACTTCTTATTACATGATGCTTATTCCATGAAAGTGACGGTTCATGAGATTTTGAATGGGATTTTTACATTTGTCCTAATAAAATAACAAAGCATAATATAATGCAACGTAATCATTATCACTTAGTTCTGCATACTGTGTCAGTATACATATCACATCCTATGTGCCAGGCACTCTGTGGCATATAGGTGGCTTCTTTACCCACAGGGTCATATACTTTGTAAGTAACTGCTTTCAAAAATATACTATTCAGTAAACTATTTGGATAGAGATAAACAAGTAGTCTAAACCCACGCTTCTCAAACCATTGTGGGGAAGGGCTAACTTTTTTATTCCCAGTCTGTCACAAACAGCATTCCAAGGTACTGTGGAAGTTTCTGGATGCTTGCTCCGCCTTTCTGTAGTTACCTTGTTGTGGACACCTGCCTATGGACCACACTTTGAGAAGTGCTTATGTAAGCCAGTTTGTAGTGAAGCCATCACAGTTCGTTCTCGAATCTTCCATGTGCTCGCCGTGCAGTCACTTGAGTTCCTAGTCTAATCACCCAGACCCTCGGAGCAGGTCTCCAACCGTGGTTGGCAGAGCTCCCCGATGGGCTCCGCAACTGCAAAACGTTTCTGGAACTGTTCTGTGGGAACCCACATACACTGGCTGGCTTCTGCCATCAGCCCATGGACTCTAGGCTGTCGTCCCAACAGGCCCTGGGCTGCAGAGGTTCAGGAACTGCTCCCTCTGTCTTCTGAGGCTCCCGTTTGTAACTGCTCCACCCCAGGCTTTGCCACCCCCATCCAGACCCACCATCCTGGTCCCAGGATGCTGCAGGAAGCCCCCAGCCTCGGGTGCTGGCACAGGAGCTTGCGCGTCAGGAAGTGCCTCCTCGCATCCCCCCGGCGGTGGGTGTCAGGCGCCCTCTCTGTCTCCCTCCACAGGTACCAGATGCCCTGGGGCTGCGGATCTCAGCAGCAGAGATTTCTCTGTCCTGGACACAGACAGCCAAGGGGGGGACGACGGGGATGCTTTCGACTTCTTCCAGCAGCAGGACCGAGTGGAGGGTGAGGGTCTCCCCACGCTGGACCAGAAGGGCCAGGATGCAGGGAAGTCCTCAGAGGACGAGGTGGAGGAGGCCCTGGACCCTCTGGGCATCATGCGGTACGTCTCCTCTTCTGGGTGGGCCCCCCCCGTCTGGTCTGGCTTTCTCCAGGTTCCTCCCTCCCTCCTGGGAGTCTGAGAAAACCGGTATCCCTGGGTTATTACCCCTAGGGGCCTGGTACTCAGGGAACTGGCTCTCTGCTCGTCCCAACATCACCTGGGTCTTTGGGGCTCGGCCCAGGTATCTCGTGCCCCTCCCTGCTCACAGGGTGGCCCCCCGCCCACCAGTTCTGCACTGAGACCACGCAGGGCTGCCCCCACCCCTGGCAGTACAGCAGCCCAGGAGGCCTGGGTTCTCAGTCCAGCTCGTCGCTGACAGCCTGTGACTTGTGATGCATGACTGGGGCTCCCTGGGCCGTGTCCCGCTGCCCTGGGGACAGGGCTGTGTACCGTAGCCCTGCCTCCCCAAGGTGGTTATAAGGCTTGGGGGGACTGGTGACCCCTAAGCTGCTGACTGATGGAAGGAGGTAGAGTGAGCCCCAGGGTAGACTGTGTTCCCTTTACACGCGCACACGCGCACACACGCGTGCGCACACACGCGCGCACACACACGCGCACTGGAGAAGAGGAGGCAACTAGCTGTGGTCTTGATGTGGCCCCTTGGGGTCCTGATTCTGTCACCTTCCTGTTCCTTCTTTCCTGTCCCTCTGCCTGCCTTTAGCCAATCAGTGAGCTGCTCCTGAGCCCCCATTGGGGGAGCACCCTGAGCTGGGGAGGGGCTGCAGGCTAGATGAGACCGGAGAGCCAGAACCCAGGCTCCCCAGGCCCCTCCGATGGGCACAGGCTGAGGCGTTGGGCAGGACCTCCCGACCAGAAGGAGATGAGTAGGAGCCCGACAGACTCAGCCCGCCTCCCAGGACCCTCACTTCTTGGCCCAAATGAGCAAGAAACAAGGTGGGAACTGTTGATTTTGAGCACCTAATACGCGCCTGGCATTGTACTTTGCACTTTGTCTACTGTGTCTCATTGACAGCCTGCCCCGCAAACAGCTGTTACTATGCCATTTGACAGATTTAAAGAAACTGACGTCTGCAGAGGCCAGGTGCCTTGCCCGAGGTCAGACGGCTTGGTGGATAATGGTACTGGGGTTCAAACCGAGCTCAGGGTCCTGTCCTGGACTGCGGAGCCAGACTCCCTGGACCAGAATCCCGGCAATTTACCCCTTTCCTTCAGTTTTCTGCAAGGAAAGCAGGATAATGATAGCACCCATCTTTTGCGGCTCTCATGAAAATTAAGTGAGTTAGACGTCACGGCCCCATCTTTCTGCCCCACCACCTCTGCAGAGGTGGACAGACCACACACCCAGAGTGACATTCTCTCTGCCTGTCTCGCAGGTCCTGTTCCAGAAAGAAATTAGAGCCAAAGGGAAATCAGGCAGGGACAAGTTCAACTTAAACAGCATGAAAAATACAGTCCAGAAAGCACTGCCCACCACCCGCAGGCCTTCCTCTCCTAGTGGGGTATGTGAGGGTGGGCACGTGAGGACATGTGGCTGCAGGGTCGCCGTGAGACCAGCCTGGAGGGGACGAGGAGTCAGACTTAGGAAAGATCGCAGGCGCTCAGGGAGACGGGGGCCGGAGCCAGAGGTCCTGCAGCTCCTTGGTTCCATCACCTCCCACCCCCACTGGCCTTGTCCTAGGAGGGGGTCAGCGGCCTGTGGGAGTGACTGCGAGGTTATGTCTGGAGAAGTTCATAATAGCCGCTCCTTATCAGCCTTGTGCGACCCGAGGGCCTTGTTGGGCTGTACTTGTTTGAACTCAGCCTCTCTGTTATTCTGAGTAACCACATGTTACTTGCTGCCAGACTGCTATGGGCTTGCGTGGTTTGTGCCAGCCTCTGGCTAAAGGACGTGCTTAGCAAAGCAGCTCCTTTTTTGGGTAGGAAAGCGCTCTTTGGGGTTGGCAAGGGACGCCTTTAATTTCCTGCTTACTCCAGTAGCAGATGGTTGGGTGAGGTGCTGGCTGTCCGGGGACCCCCTGCGCCCCAGCGCCATCCCCAGCTCTGCACTCGGGGGCCTCCTTTCTGAATCCGAGGAGAGCTGAGCACCTAAAAGGGATCCCGGAGGCTTTTGACCTTCTGCCAGTCTTTCTTTTAATACCAGTGTGACAATAGTCAGTGCTGTCGTCTCCACTGGGAATAATAACAACTAACATTTTTTGAGAGTTTATTAAATGCCAGGAACTGTTTAGCATTTACATGAATAGATATTTTCTATTCTATTTCTTTTTTTTTTTTAAAGGTCACGACTCAACCAAATTGCTTTCCAGATCCACTGTGGGTCTGGTTTGGGAAATGGTGCCCTAGGAAGTGGGTTCTGGCATCGGGCTTGTTCTGTGTGTGAGGAGGCTGACATTTGGAGTCAAGTAGCTCATCCAAATTCATCCAGCCCCAAATGGCAGAGTCAGGACTTGGTGTCACCTCCCTGCCCTGTCCCCGGATTCCAGTCTCCCAGCAGACTGGGAGGCAGGCAGAGCCCTAGGATTATACCCCCTTCAGAGATGGGAAAATTGAAGACAGAGTTGCGCGGGGACTTGGCCAGTGCCTTGTGTGTGGCAGGGCCCTGCCTTGAAGTAAGGGTGTCCCCTTGGCCTCTCCTGGGACACCCAGGTGGGCCTGTTGACTTCTTTGTACGAGGCTGCCTACCCGACCCTCTGGTGAGGAACATTCTGTTCTTTGCAGGAGACTTAGGCTTGGCGTGCATATTTCTCCATCCTGTGCCCTCAGTTCCTCTGCGGCTGCGGCTGCGGCTGCGGCTGCGGCTGCGGCTGCGGCATCCTTGCTCTCCCAGCCCCCCACCTCCCCGAGCACCCATCTGGGCCAGATGCCGGCCTTCCCCAAGCGGCCACGTTTCCAGGCGGCAGGCGCTGGCCCTTCCTGCCGTGGCCGCGCCGGGGCGCTGTTTCTCCACCGTGGGGTTGCTGGGCGGGTGGGGGCCATGGCACAAAGCCTGGCTTTCCTTTGTCTGTAAAACCTGGTTTTGATTAGGGAAGGACGCACTGCTGCACCCTTAGAAAGTGCCTCAGGAGAGACAAAGCCCTCACCGCCTCCAAATGCCGCGCTCGTCTTTTCGGGATTTTTGTGTGTCCCTGTCCTGGTGCAGCCCATGTAACCGCAGATATAGTACATATGCCCTTTTACGCTCTGCTCTTGCACTTAATGTCCTCACGATCGGTTTCCATGTGGAACACGGTTTTCACGTTTAACTTTCTGTTTTAGAGACTTCACAGTCCCGAGAAAGGTGAAGTTCTCCCGTAATAGTTTTGCCTTCTGCTGGGAATACTCCGCGAGGAACATTTTAAATTGTAACTCAAATAATGTATGATTAGTATAGAAATATTGAAGACACCATTAAAAGCCCTTTCATCATGAAAGGTATATACACTTTTGGATATCCATGTTTTACTACCAAAATGGAACCGTGTTATGTGTGCTGTTCCATAATTTGCTTTTTTTCAGCTTACATACTGGGTCCTTCCGGATCAATAAGTGGACTTGTACATTCTTAACTTGGTGCTGCCCATCAGGCTGATGTGCTGTAAATGGCATTCCCAGGCCCCTGCTGGGGGACACTGTGGTGTTTTCCATAGGTTTTTGCTATTACAGGCAATGAAAGAACTTGTTTATGTATGGAGTGTTTATTCTATTGAGCTTTCACCCCAGTTACCTGACCCAGAGCAAGGTCCTAAAAGCTTCTGCTGGGGTTCTTGGTTGTGCCTCTCCAGTGAAGGGGTCTTTAAGGACTTAATTCCCCTGTGTTGGGAAGTCCTCCCTGCTTTTCCAAACCCTGCCCATCCACAAGGCCCGCTGCCCCCTCCTCTTCCCCCAGTGTCCAGGGAGCTCCCCAACCTCCAGGCCCCAGGTCCCTGAGGACCCTCAGCTTCCCAAGGGACAGGCTGGTTCCTGCAGGAACATGCTTTCCTGTAAGACTGGACTTCCTGCTGTCTGCTCAAAGGAGGGGGAGCCAGCACCCGGGGCCCTGTGCCGTGGCCTCAAGTGGTGAAGCTGGACGTTTCTTTGGAACGTGAATCATGTGTTTTGTCATAAATATTTATACAGATTTTGCTTTATCTTTCATAAAATAACCGTATGTGTTTTAGTATAAAAATATCTTGCTTCCTCTATTTGGATGGAACTGCTACTCTGGGATCATTCTGTGGTTCTGAAGACTTCCGGCATGATGCCAGGTGCCCCCAGATCTACTAACCCAAGATTTACTTATTTCCCCGCCCAGCTTTATTGAGATAAAATTGACATGTGACATTGTGTAAGGTTAAGGTGCACAATGTGATGATGCGATACACCTACGTTGTGTGAAATGATTACCACGATAAGGTCAGCCATCGCCTCACCACCATTTCCAAGATAGAGAAGCAAGGCGACCCCCAAGGACAGGAGCTCTGCGGGGACAGCTTGGCCTCACCCCACCTCACGAGGGGCCCCAGGAGCTGCTCCTCCTCGGACGCCTCTTGCTAAGTATCCCGGCTGTCCCTCTTGGGCTTAGGGCCCCTTTAGGGTTCCGGCCCCCGCCTAGGATAGCAGAGCCTGGCCGGGAATTCTGCACCACCTGGAGCTGGTTAGAAATGCAGATTCTACCTCAGGCCCTCTCGAACCTAGGTGGGGCCCAAGAACCTGTGTTTTAACGAGCTCTTGGCGCGCTCCACAGGCAAATTCATGTTTGAGGAGCCCCCAAAACCGAGCTCAACAGAAGTCTTGGAGAAGCAGGAGGACAGTGATGCAGAGAGCAGGTCCACCAGCCGCCAGGCTCTGTCACTCACAGGGGTTCCAGTAGGCGGGCTCAGGGAGGCCTTTCCTGTTACTCTCAGCCCCTGGCCCACCACTGCCTCTTGGGTCTCCCTCTCTCGTCTCCTGCTGGAGGGCCGTTCTTCCTGATCGCTCTCGGGGCTGTGAGCCAGGGCTGGCGGCCTCACGCTGTACCTCCACGCACAGCACTTAGCCTCGGCCCATCCTGGGTCCAAACAAGGAGCATGCAGGGGGCACGG